CCTGCAGATCCTTTCACGCCGAGGCCCCTGGACAAAGCGACCTCGTCTCCCAAGTGCACGGCACATTTCGCGAAGAACATGGTCGGCCCGCTTGGTAGCGGCAAGGCCACGCCATCCACGAGATTGCCGTCCTCAAGAAGCAAGCGACGCAGCAACGACCTGATCGTGCCCGAGAGGCCACCGCGCATTTTCTCCACTTGTGCCGACCTGAGCACGCCCAGGGGGAACCAACAGCATTCGTGCCGAAGGGCGTGCTTGAATTCTAAAAACGAATGTAAAATGCAACGAACTTCCTGCGGTTATGCGGGCGCAGCACAGCTCCAGGCGTGACCTCGTCGCGCGCAAGGATCACGTTCCACGGCCTTGCTGGGGTGATAGGCGCGGCCGCGAACATGCGCGTCAGCGCTGGGGACACCTCGACTGACCGTTGAACCAAGCGGGCAGGCCTCAGCGGGATGCGCCAAGCAGGCGCGCCGCGAACCCCCAGCACCACCCCCTCCCGCTCGGGAGGGGGGAGGGGGGATGTGCGGAGGGGGGGGGAGGGGCAGGGGGAGAGGAGAAAACTTGCACCAGAAAAAAAATCCAGATTTCGCTGTTGATTTTTTTGCGGCCCAAGAAAGACGCGCTGCTTGGTGCGCCCCGCGGCGCCCTTGCAATGTGCCGCTCGAAGGATCCGCCGTCGCACAACGGCAATTCCAGAGAACACGACATCTCTCTATCGTAATCCATCTTCGCGGCGGCCTTGGCCTCATGCGCAGAGACTTCCTCTTCGATGGGCGCTTGCCTCAGTCGGCGGAGGACCTCGCACAAACCGGCGCACGTCACTACTGGAATGGTCACCAGCCTCCCAAGGCGGCGGCGCTTCTCGAGAACTTGCTTACCCATGATGGCCGCGCGGGTGCTGGGGCGCGGGGCTCGGGCGCTCCTGAGCCCAAGCGCTGAATGTAAAGCAGGTGAAGGGTTCAAGCCGTCGCGCCGAGCGATTCAATCGCTTCCGAGCGAGGGCGCCGCTTCATAGCGAGTGCATCGCTAACGAAATGAGCGATTGATCGCTTGACCCGCGCCCCTCTGCACCGAATTTCTTCTCCGACGCCGCATCTCAGCCCGAGAGATGTCAAGAAACTTAGGCGGCCACTCGTGCAGCATGCTCGTTGCGGCACTTCCTCCCCTCCTCCCGCAGGGGAGCCTCAGACGTCGAAAGTGCTGAGCGCTGTCTCCGCCTGCGCGCACTTCTTCTCAGCCGCGTCTGCCTTCTCCTTCACCGTCGCAAGCTGAATGGACAGCACGGCGTTCTTGGACAGGGTATCCTGGGCCGCGGCCGCGAGAGCGTCGAGGTCCTTGACGTGCCACGCCAGGGCCTTGCTGTGGTCCTTGTGCAGCTTGCTTGCTTTGGGGCTGTACAACAAACCTTTTGCATTGAAAGCGAGCGGGCTCACCTTGGCCAGGACCTTGACGGCGTCGCTCATCATCTTCTTGGTGGCTGAGGTTGGCGAGAGTTGCTCCTTTCCCTTGCCTTTGCTTTTGTTCTTGCCTTGGTGCTGCTGCGAGCTGGCGCTGCGCTCCTTGGCGGCGATAAGGGACTCGCGGACCTCTTCCTCAACGCTTCTGTCGTCCTTGTAATCAATGTTCACGCAGTAGAGCGTGCCGAGGACTTCGTCTTCTTTCTTGTCTTTGCACAGCCTCTTAATCCTCTTTGCGGAGTAGCCCTTCTTCTTGCAGACGCTCAGTGGGAGGTATTTCCCCTGCCTGCCTGAGGCGCGGCTCTCGCGGTACACCCTCGTGAACGTTTCCATCGCAATCTTCTCGACCTCTGCCTTCCCGTTCGCCTCCTTGACGTCGTTCCAAAAATGTCTCTCTTCTTGTGAAAGCGACTTGAAGGACTGTGGCGGCCACCCTCCGAAAATCCCGTGGAGCTGAGTGCGCCGCGAACTGCGCGTTGAGCACTGCCAAACATTCCTTTTCTTGCCTACAATCCGTGCTGCGAGCGGCTCCACGGGCTTCTTGCACTTGGTGCAAACGGGGTTGCGATCGAAGCGCGGCACCGCGTCGATAGCCTTCTGACCAGGGGCAGCGGCGCTCGGTGGCTGGACCTCGGCGGGTTCTGTCGGGGCCTCCGAGCTCCTCGGCGCGGCCGTTTTATTGCGTTTCTCTTTGGCGGTCTTGGGGCGCTTCCCCCTGTTATTCCCCTTCTTTTTTTTCTTGGCCTTCTCGCCGCCCTCGCCGCTGACGCCGTAGTCGGCGCCCTCGGCGCCGTCGTCTCCGCCAGTTCCGGCGTCGCCTGCGTCGGCGCCGTCGCCGTCGGCTGGCCAGCCTTCGGCGCCTTCGGAGGCCCTCCTCTTCTTGCCCCTCTTCTTCTTCTCAGCTGCGGGCGCAGCCGCGCCGCTGCGGTCGCCTCCTTCGTCGAGGTGTTCGGGTTTGGGCCCCCGCTCCCAGGGCCAGTCGTCCTCCTCGGGCGCAGGGCCTGCATCTGCCTTGGCTGCCCTGGCCCTCGTTTTCTTGGGAGGGCGCTTGGCCTTGCCTGCGCGGCTGGCGCCGTGAGCGGCCACTTCGGCGGCCTCCTCTGGGGCCACCCCTAGCTCCTCGGCAAGTTTCCCTGGCTCCTCTGGGGCCACCCCTAGCTCCTCTGGGGCCACCCCTAGCTCCTCTGGGGCCACCCCTAGCTCCTCGGGGGTTTCCTCTGGCTCCTCGGGGGGGTCCTCTTTCGCGTCGTCTAGCTGCCCCGCACGGTCCGCCGAAGCCACAACGGAGAACTCGAACAGCGAGCGCTGCTTCCTGACCTCCACGTGCTTGGGCGGGGTGGAGACGCGCGGCGGGGCGGCAGTCGACATCTGCTGCAGCAGGCTCCCCACAGGCGCGCCCATACCTCGGTTGCGCGAGCGCTCCCGAGCGACCCGAAAGCAGGGCGCGCTGCTTTGAGCCCAGAGTGGCTGCAGTAGGGCGCAGTGGCGTCGTGAGCTCGGGGGCGCGTCTGAGCGAGCGAGTCGCTAGTCTGAGCGAGTGAATCGCTTGTCTGAGCGAGTGTATCGCTAGTTACAGCGAGTGCATCGCTAGCCTCAGCAAGCGAAACGCGGTCTCAGCGACCCTCGCTCTCTCGCCCCCCCCCGCCCCCATCCAAACAGAAAAGCGCAAACCACGGATGGCGACGTCACGTTGGACCACCGTTGGACCACCCACGTTGGACCCCCGTTGGACCACCGTTGGACCACGGTGGTCCAACATGTTGGACCCCTGTTGGACCACCGTTGGACCACCGTTGGACCACCATTGGACCACGTTGGACCACCTTCTGTTGGACCACCCATGTTGGACCACCGTTGGACCACCGTTGGACCACCAATCGCCGTTACGCTATGGTGCTACTGCTGTCCCTCCTCTTCTCTCTCACTCCTCTTTCTCTCTGCTCTGTCCTTCTCGGGCACTGGCTCGGGCTCGGGGTCGGGCTCCGACCTGGCCGTCGGCTCGGGCTCAAAGCGCGGGCTCGGGCTCGGGCTCGGGCTCGGATTCGGCCCATGCCCCCCCCCCAGTCGCGCCGCAGACGCCGCCAGAAGGATCTCCACGCCGGTTCTCACAGAAAAAACTACCCGCAGGCCCCTGCGGGAAAAGCCGCGGATCACCCCGACCAAAATGCGTCCTCCTGGACCTCGGCCTCCGAGAATCGGCCCCCAAGGCGGGCCTCCTCTTTACTTTCTCTTTACTCTCTCCTCCCTCCCCCCCTCCTCTCTCCCTTCTCCTCTTGGCGGGTCGCGCATGGGCGGGCCGAAGAGGAGCCGGCGATTCGATCGCTCAAATGGGGTTTCGAGGAAGAGCCAGCGATTCGATCGCCCAAGTTGGGTCACGAGGGTGCTATTCTTTTCTCAAAGAAGCCGCGGGCTTCCGAGACAGGCCGAGCGCAGGGCAGCAGGCCGCGTCTTGGGGTGGCTCAGCCCACGTGGCGCATGCAGATGCTCTCGAGCGTCTTCTCGGCGCCCGAGATCGCAGCAGCGCTGTCCTCGAACGCCTTCGCTGCACTGCGTGCGATGGTCGCGGCGTGTTCCGTCGCCGTCAGAGACCTGTCAAGGCAATCCATGACCTGCTGCAGCTCGCCCTTGCGCACCGTGATGTCTCGCGTCACCACTGCCTTCGACTTGTACTGGCCGACTGGTCCTGAAGACCGCCGTTCAACGGCCCGCCCTTGCGGCGGTTCCTCGGGTGGCGTGCGCTTCTTGCTCTTCTGCGCGCCCAGCTCGTAGACAATGTACGCGTCATTATCCGCCTCCTGCAACGCCGCCTCCCACTCGAGGGTGTTGTCGACGTTGTGGTAGGGAAAAGACCACGAGTGGTTCGCCACCTTCTCCTTCACGACCTCCCTGTCAGGGTCCTGGAAGAGGCAAGAACCACCTTTCGCGCAATCGCCGCGAGGGCGAAAGCCGCGCCACAGCCATTCCGCGCCGCTAGAGCTCGCGGCCTCCGACGGTCCATCCATCGCTGCCCGCCGAGCGCGCCTTGGCCCTGGGCCGCTCAGAAAGAAAACCGCTTTGAATAGATTGAGCCCAGACGAATGCAGATGACAACCCGCGCGGCCCGCCCCATGGAGCGAATGCAATCGCCGAGAGGAAATGCAACGGGCAGGGGCGTAAGGGTGCCGACGCATCGAAGGGGGCTGAGCGAGGAGGTCGAGCAAGCCGAGGCGACCGAAGGGGGGGGGAACGGCCCGCCGAATCTGGGGCACTTTTTTGCGCGTGACAGCCCAGAGAGCGCTGTGAAGGAATGCACCGCCAGATTCCTCACAAAACTCCCCGTGGGATCTGTTCAGAATCAAGATCCACCCTTGCCTTGCGTTTCTATATGTTGAATCACTCGCGGGCTCGTTTATCAACAATTCATTCTGTACTCTCTACGCGCACAAGGGACAAAGAGAAATCGAAGAGAGAGGGGCCATGAGAAATAGACGAGAGAGGTGACCTGCATAGCGATTCAATCGCTTGTGAACTGCATAGCGAGTCAATCGCTGGTTTTTTGTCTCAAATGTCCTCGAGGTCATCAGGGTTCCAGGCGGCCTGCGCCCGCGGCGCCCGCGCGCCCTCGGGGGCGCTGCCCTTGCTGCCCTTGCCGTCCATGCCGCCCTTGCTGCGCTCGGAGAAGGCGCCGCCCTTGCTCTGCTCCTGACCTTTGCCGCTCTTGGAGGAGGCGCCCTTGCCGCCGCCCTTGCCCTTGCAGTCCGAAGGCCGCTTCGGCGCGTGGCCTGCTTGCCAGCCCCAGCCGCCGTAGCCGTACTTCTCCTCGAAGAACCCCCTGGATGAGCCACCGCGTTTCTTCCAACGCCGCTCGCCGTCTGACCATCTGTCGCCGCGCCACATCGTCGGCCCCCCCCCCCTCGCTTGGAGGAGGCGGGCCGCGCATGGCCCATGGCACGCCGAACTGCCTTGCCACGTCCGACTCGTCCCTGAGAGCCTGCGGGGAGTTCCACGAGGCGGTCGCCGTCGCTTGCTTGCGCCTCTTCTCCCAAGGGCCCCCCGCTTCGCCGCCGCTGTCGGGCTCGCCCTTGCCGCTGGCGCGCCACTCGCCCTTGCAGCCGTTGCCTTTGTCGGCGGCGCTCGGCCTCTCGGACTCTGAGTCTGAGATAGGACCCATGCGCGATTCGCCGCCAGCGCCCCCGCTCTCCTTGCTTTCGCCCGCCTCCTGGGCCCCATCCTGGAACTGCGCAAAGGGGTTGCCCAGCGACAACAACGATTGCAGTGACCTCTCCGCGTCGTCGGCCATTGTCGCTGGCGCGGCCGCCGAGGCCTTGGGCCGAAATGGCAATGCGAAGGCGCGGTCGCAGGGGCGCTCCGCGAGCAAGCGAATGCATCGCTGACACAGGGTTGGGGTGAAGGGAGTGCTGCTTCGATGGGGGGTCGGAGGAAAGCGAATGCATCGCTGACGCGGGGTTGGGGTTGGCTTGAGGGGCCGAGGCCCCCTCCATCACTCTCCCCTCTCACCCTCCTCTCCCCTCTCTCCCCTCTCACCCCTCTCACCCCTCTCCAAGTCAGCGGTCCATCACTCCCCCCTCTCACCCCTCTCACCCTGTCTATCCCCCAAGCGAATGAATCGCTTAGCGAGTGGATCGCTGTTCCTTTTATCGCAGACAAAGGTAAGACACGCCCTCACGAGAGTAAAAGAGAGCGGCAGGGTTCCCTGGGGCGCTCGCGCGGCTTACCCAAACGCCAGGATGCGCTCTCCAGGGCCCCATATACAGAAGCGCGGTAGCGAAATGTATTGGACGCCCTGTCCTAAGTACCGTAGCATGACTATGAGTAAAGTGCGTGGCGGACCCAGCGCGGCCGAGAGCGCCTCAGGAAACCTACACACATTATGAGCTACTTACCCAGCAGCTTCGAAATCCTGAGCCGCTCTTTGCAACTCGAGCACCCCATTTTGGCGCAACGACACTTCGAACACCCGAGCTTTTTGATGGGCTTGAACAAGGGTGACACGGTGACGCCCTCCCCGTGGCTTTTGCCCGTCGTCTTAGCCCCAGCCTTCGTCGCCTTTGCTTTCGCCTTCCCCTTTGCCTTGCCCGTTGCCTTCGGCTTCGGCCCCCCCCCCCCTTCTCCTTGGTCACGAGTCCGTGCAGGATGTCCTCGGTGACCGAGGCGACATCCTCCTTCTTGGGGGGAGTCTTGTTCCCTTTGGCGACGCTGGCTGCTGCAGGCGTCGCTGGCGACGGTGGCGTTGGCGCTGCTGGCGACGGTGCCCCTTCTGAGGCGGAAGATGGAAGAGAACTCGGGGCAGCGTCCTCCGCGGCTGCGAACGCCGAGGCCGCGGCGCGTTTCGCGCCGCCTCCCAGGATCTTGAGGTTCAAAGGGCCCGTCTGAGCGCCGACGTCCGCCCGCCGCAAGTTGTCGAACATGAGCTGCACCATCTGCAAAACGTCGGGCTGCGACGCCGAGGCGCTCATCATCTGCGCCCCCGTGGCCTGCTGCTTTGTGCTGCGGCGCGGGTGCGTAGCCTGGACGGAGCGAATCGCGGCTTCTGGCGCGGGGCATGCCGCTGGCAACTCGTCGCCATGCACTTGCTTGAAGAAGTCAGGGTGGTTCTCCCAGAACGTCGAGGGGGACGTGGGCAGCTCGGTCAGCCGAACGGGGGGCGCAGGAAGCCTCGAAACCTTCGTGGGTGAAATTGCGGCCAGGGGAGGGGGGGGGGAGAATTGGAACAGCTGGGGGAGGCGCGGTCGACGACGAGGGCCGCAATTTCACCCGCAGCCTGGCGCTTGAACACGCGCTTGGTCTGCTGGAGGTACGAGTACTTTGCAGCCCACGCCAAATTCTTCGCGGCCTCGGCTCCGTCCACGGCCATGCGCCACGTCGCCGTCAACATCTGATGCGCGCCTTCGGTCGGGTTGCGAAGCCCCAAGCTAATCGCAACATCAACCAGCGCGTTGAGCTTCGCTTCCTCGGGCACGTCGGCCCGCGCCAACTGGTGCCACGAGCCCGCTGTCAGGTACCCGAAGATGCACTCGTAATCCTGCTGAGCCATTCGCAAGCCCACGGCGCTGCCAGAAGCCACGATGCTGCCGAGCTTCTCCAACAGCCTCCCCTTGGAAACCTCGGACCAGGGTTGCGCTGCGACGAGAGACGAGAGGGTTGTCACCTGCGTGGGCTGCAGCCTCGCGCCCCCGAAAGCCTGCACGAGCATCCTTTCCTGCGTGGCCGCCACCGTATCGAAACAGAGCTGCCCTTGCACTGCCTCGAGCAATCGCCCGACGGCCTCGACTTGGTCGCGCAAGCGCTGGGCAGCCATATCTACGGCAAAAAAAAAATGCGCGGGCTTGCGCATGCAAACGGCTTCGAATGATGGCGCAGTGGGGGCGGCATAGGCAAGGGCCTCATAGCGAATTCATCGCTTATAGCGAATTGATCGCTCAGATAATTGCACAGCGAATTGATCGCTCAGAGAACCACATAGCGAATTTATCGCTCATACCCAGGAATGCGTGAGCGAATGCATTGCTGTCATCGCCCTTCCCCCCTCCTTTCTTCTCGCCGTCCTACTGGCTAACTACCGAACCGCAGGGGGGGGAGGGAAGGGGGGGGGCATGGAAATTGCAGAAGTTATGAAAGTTGTAAGATGGTTAGATGTCGGTTATAACTTGTTGTATAAGTATGGTTACGGGCACCGTGTAAGTGCAGTTGCGGCTTCGGTAAGTACATTTGCATCTGCGACGACTACATCTATAAGTATGATAAGGCACTCTACTTTGCTAAACCGAAGTCGCTACGCCAGTGCGCCGGGTGCGCCGGGTGCGCCGGGTGCGCCGGGTGCGCCGGGTGCGCCAGGTGCGCCGGGTGCGCCGGGTGCGCCGGGTGCACCGGGTGCGCCGGGTGCGCCGGGCGCGCCGGGTGCGCCGGGTGCGCCGGGCGCGCCCGGTGCGCCGGGCGCGCCGGGCGCGCCGGGTTCGCCGGACGCGCGTTCTCTCACGCGACACCATTGGTACTGACAATATGCACGACGAGCAAGTGAAGGAGCCTCGACGCACAGAGTCAATGAGCGATGTGGACGCAATTAGATCGGGAACGCTGACAAACGGCAAGTATTCCGTCCTCTTTCTCCTCATCCGTCGTCCTCCTCCTCGTCGTCATATTTTCCCTGCCTTCGCCGTCGTCGTCCTCCTCCTCCTCCTACCACCCATTTCCATCCACCTCCCACATCCTTCCTGTCCCCTTCACCACATCCTCGCCGCCCTTGCGTTCATGCAGCGCGCGATTTGGACGGAGCATGAACGTCGCAAGTGCACGCTTTTATCGAATCGCTCGTGCAAGTGTCTACGTCAACTGTCTCTGCAACGAGCTGCTCACGGACAATGTCAACTAGCGTGGGCCCCGTCGGGAATGCCGGAGGCGACACCGCTATGCAAAGCATGCGCATGCTAAGACACCCGGAAGAAAAAACTAAGAGCGCCCCCCGTTCGCCGGCCGAGGTCTTCCTCCGGGCCAGACAAGGGATATTGCACAGGGCTGCTCGTGCAAATGTCTGGGACAACGGTCCCTGCGTCGGGTTGCTCACGGACCAATCCAAAAACCTGGACCCCGTCGGGGACACCAGCGCGACGGCATCAACCTTAAAAATGGCGCGCGCAAGGCGCTCGGAAAATGTAATACGAGCGCCTCCCGTTTGCTGGCCGAGGTGTTCCTCAAGGACGGGCAAGGGATATTGCACAGGGCGGCTCGTGCAGAATTATTTGCCCGGCCAATCTAACGTGAGCGGCCTCCTGTTTGCTGGCGCCAGGGCCCGAGATGGCCCGCGAGCGCCTCCCGTTTGCTGGCCCGGGCTGCTCGCGGACATATCCATGGGCGTCGAGCTGGTCGGGGCCTGCCCATGCAGCTGGGCCGCCAAGGTCGGGGCCTGAGTCTACCATTCCCCTGGGCCGCCTGGGCGGGCCAGGCCGGCCGCGCGCGTGGGCCGCGCCGGCGCCGATGCCGAGGGGCGGGCGCTCGCTGCCGCAGCAGGGCCGCCCCTGGCGTCGGGCGCCGCTGCTGCGCCGCTGCCCGCCGAAGCTGCGTCGGCGCCGCGCCCGACCCCCACCCCCTGGCTAGGCGCCGGCGCCGCCCGCGGACGCGCAGCGCGAGGCGCGCCCGCTGCGGCGGAGGGGGCCTTCCTCTTCCGCGTCTCCCGATTGGCAATTGCATTCGTATACGCCTGCAAGGACACGCCGCACAGCATCATCAAGCGGTTGTGGAACGGCAAGTGCAGTTCTGGGCGGTCCGGGGACGGCATCGACAGGTGAATGCGCGGGACGCCCGGCTGCTCCTCCGCGCCCAGGCCATCCTCGAATGTCCCGATGCGGTGCTTGGCGAGTCCCGCCTGCATCACAGCCTTCCAATGATGCTGCCTGAGGGCGATTGTTTTCCCGCGGACGCCCGGCCCGGAGCTCGGTAGCGCCTTGCGGATGGATCCGCACACATCCGAACAATAGACGGTCGCCTCTCCTCGCAAAATTGTCTTCTTCATGATCTCCCTGTCGGAGTGGATGATGTCGCCGTGGTCCCGCAACTGCACGGAGGCGCCGTCCTGCAGAGGGGCTCGACTACACGCGCGTCGCTTCGACCGAACATCGACCCGCCTGCACCAACCCTGGAAACCTCGGTTGGCGCAGGCGGGTCGATGTTCGGTCGAACGCGCCGACTTGACGAATCCCGGGTCCCGGACCCCCCCCCCCCCCGAGGAGCACGCATCGCATGCAACCCCTCTCCGTCGGCGCTTCACTCACCCGGCCGCGCGCTCCTCCCCGTACCCCACCTCCATGTCAGGGACCTCCGGGTCGCCCGCCATCAGGAACTGGGCACCTCCGGGCGCGCCGTCGTCCGCGGCGCCACTGGCCGCCAGCGCCGCCTCCTCCTCCTCCTCCTCCTCCTCCTCCAGCAGTTCGCCAGGGCCCGCGGGAAGCTCACTGGGGCCGGTCTGCTCGCCCCTCTCCTCGGCAGCCTCCGCGGCGCCCCGGCCGCCGCCATCGCTGTCCACCTCATCCTGGCTGTCGCCGGCGTCGGCCACGGCGTCGGCCACGGCGCCGGCGCCCGCCCCGGCGGCGGCGCTCGGTCCGTCGCGCGCGGGCGGCGGCGCCTGGGTCAGGGCGAATTGGCCCCGCTCCTGACCGACCGCGTGGACCCGCACTGCGCCGGCGGCCCGACGGGCGGCTGCGCCCCGCCCTGCCCAGCGGGCGGCGGCCATCTCCGCCTCCTCGGCGACCCGCGACATCGGCCCTTCCTCGAGGGTTATGCGTACGTCGTGAAAGACCTCCAAGATATCCC